TCTGGGGAACACAGGGTTAATTGCCCTGCTAATCACTCTGTTTCACTAATCAGTCCCTGCAGAGGGGTTCTGTTTGTTTTTCCAGGCTTATACATCCTCTACCCAGCTTTTCTGGTGGTTTATTTAAGAGGCTAATTTTTGATTTTGCTTTCTGGTGTTTATTTTAAGGTTTGGTTTTCTGTTTGTTTTTTTCTTTTCCTTCACAGCAAACATAAAATCTGCTAAGATATTTCTCCTAGGAATTTTATTGATTCAGCAGGTCTATTCCCAATGTGAGTCCTAATTTCAGAGAATTCCCTGTATTCATGGAACCTTATGGACACTGCAGGTCCTTAACAAAGGACACAACTCTGTTTTTAAAGGTCATGGCTTGGAAACTGGGGGACACTCTCAGGTATGGGGGCACTCAGGAGACACTGGGGGCATGTCCAGGGAAGGGAACAGAGCTGGGGAGGGGCTGAGGGAGCTGGGAAGGGGCTCAGCCTGGAGAAAAGGAGGCTCAGGGTGGCCCTTGTGGCTCTGCACAGCTCCTGACAGGAGGGCACAGCTGGGAAGGATCAGGCTGTGCTCCAGGGAAAGGACAAGGAGAAATGGCCTCAGGCTGTGCCAGGGGAGGTTTAGGATGGGTATTGGGAAAATTCCTTCATGGGAAGGATGGTCAGGCCCTGGCACAGCTGCCCAGGGCAGTGGTGGGGTCACCATCCCTGGAAGAGTTAAAATGTGTGGATGTGGCACTTGAGGGCCTGGATTAACGGTGAACTTGATCTTTCCCAACCTGAACAATTCCATGACCAGTGACTGACCCAGAACAGGCTGCCCTTGAGTGAGAAGCACAGAAGAGAGATGTTCCTCCCCCTCAGGGCAGCAGCTCCTCCTTACCTGTCCAGCAGGGAGCCCAGGGAGGTGACAGAGCTGTCCCACTGCGCTGCCAGCACCAGGCACAGCCCATCCTTCAGCAGGGAGCACTGCAAGAGAGGGAGGAACAGAGCTTTGGTGCTGCTCTGCACCTGAACAAGTCTCTAAGTGTGGCTGATGGGTGAGGAACAGGAGCCCCAGAGCAGCAGATCCCCTCAGGCAGAGGCAGTGCCATGTCTGAGCTGTGTGTGATCCCCACAGGCCTCTGAGTGAAAACCAGCAGTGTCTGGGTGTGTTACTCAGTCCCCACCTCTGCTGGAAGCAGAACACCAAGACAGGTAAATATTGAGATATTTTAGCAGCAACACAGATTACTTGAAGCAGCCCATGTCCCTCCTAGAGAGGGAGAGCAAAGGCTGTGGCATTCACCTTTGGCTCAGCTGTGCCAGATCCTTCTGGAAACACCCCAGGGCCATTTATCTCTGACAGGAGGAGGGAGGGATGGCTCTGCTTCCCCTGTGTCCTTCCTAGAGAGCTGTGCACATTATTCCCTGTGCAGGGGATGGATCCTCAGGGGACTCAGGGCACAAGCAAGCAGTGCTTACAATAATTGCCTGCTAGATGTAATTGCTGTTCCACACAGATGTACTTCAAAGGGATGTGTCAGTTTTTAAAAGCACAACCTGAATAGATCTTACATGCTCCTATTACAGATAACACCCAGGACTTAGAACTGAGAGCTGGAGGCCCAAATGTTTGTGTTTTGTGAAGGGGCTGCTGCGGTCTAAGAGTCCTTGGGTGGTTGCCACTGTCATTGCTGTCCCCCCTTGTTTACTCTGTGCTGCTGACTGCACTTTCCTGCACATTCCACCTCCCAGCTCTGCCCAGGCTAGGTTCCTGACTGGGTGGGCTTCTCCTACACCAAGAGGAAAACTCTGGGCCTGGTTTTCTGTTGTATGGAGCAATGTCAGCTCAGCCCAGCAGCACATCCTGCACCCAAACCCCAGGGCTGCACCTGCTGAGAGCCACAGAATGGCCTGGGCTGGAAGGGACCTCAAAGCCCATCTTGTCCCACCCCTGCCATGGGCAGAGACACCTCCCACAGTCCCAGGTTCCCCATCCAGCCTGGCCTTGGGCACTGCCAGGGATCCAGGGGCAGCCACAGCTGCTCTGGGCACCCTGTGCCAGGGAACAATTCCTTCCCAATATCCCATCCATCCCTGCCCTCTGGCAGTGGGAGCCATTCTCTGTGTCCTGTCCCTCCATCCCCTGTAAATGGTCTCTCTCCATCTTTCTTGTAGCTCCTTCACACACTGGAAGGCCACACTGAGTTTACCCCAAAGCCTTTTCTTCTCCAGGTGAACAATCCCAATTCCCTCAGCCTTTCCTCCCAGCGGAGCTGCTCCATCCCTCTGATCATCCTGGTGACCCCTCTGCACTGGCTCCAGCAGCTCCAGCTCCTTTCTGTGCTGGGAGCCCCAGAGCTGGAGGCAACACTCCAGATGGGAAAACCTCAGGCTCCAGGGCACAGTCCAAGAAGAAGAAAAAGGGATTTTTAGCATTGTAGAGGAGGATTACAGGGGTAATCCTGTAATTACCCCCGTAAAAAATGGGGTGTGATTACAGAGAGGGAAATAGAAACTGTATTTTCATGGAGAAACAAGAGAGGAGAAGGCAGCAGAGCACACAGAACAGGGTGATGGCTGACTGGAATGAAACATTCAATAAATAAGGGGTGGATGGAAGGCCATTCCCATGAGGGCTCCCAGGGATGCAGGACCATCAGGAAGTGCCCCCAGTGCCCACATTCCTCACCAGAGGTGCCAGGGCTCAGAGGCAGTGCTGTAACAGTGCCACCAAAGCCTCAGGGCAGCACATCCCAGCAAGGCATCTTTACAAGGCTCTTCTTTAGTGCCAAGGAAGCAAAGCCCAGTCCCAGCTGTTCCATACCTTTGCTGCAACGCTGCCCTTGGCCCTGCTGAGCCTCTGGGAGATGCAGAGAGCCTGGGCTGAGTCCAGCACAGCCAGCCGAGCTGCAGTCAGCACAAAGCCTCTGCCCAGGAGC